GCAATCGGCCAGGTGCGCCTGGTCGACGTGGGCGACGGTGACAACGACGTGCAGCAGTAGGTGCCATGCCCTCTTGCATGGCTGGTGCGGTGACCGGCGTGCTGTGTGTTGGGTGCACGCCGGCGAGCTATTCTCCGAGCAGTACTGCCGTGTGGGCTGGGTGCCCAAGCGTGAACGCGGCAGGGGAGTGTCAATGGCAGTTGTTGTTGGCCACGTCCTCGCTTGGGCGGAGCCGACTTCGTGGTCGGATGTGAGGAGTACAGCCGACCTGCAGCAGTGGGGGGCTGGTCGACGGGTCTGGTCGACCTGCACGGGGGCCACTGCAAGGGCGCCAACTTTGGGAGGGCGCCAACTTCGGCTGGTCGACTTGGGAGGTCGACCAGTGGAGGCTGGTCGACTTGGGAGGTCGACCAGTAGAGGGCGTCGACTTGGGTACGTCGACCACGGGAAGCCGACTGGGTGTGGTCGGCTGACAGATGTGCTGGTCGACCTGGAGTTGGTCGACCAGGTGGGTTGTCGACCTGGAGCTGGTCGACCAAGGTTGTGGTCGACCTGGTGAGGTCGACTGAAGGTTGTCGTCGACTTGGGAGGTCGACGGGCACACAAGGAAGCAGCTGGTCGACGTGGTGGTTGCCCGGTCGACCAAGTTACCTGGGTGACGAGGTTCTGCGAAGTAGTGCGATGGTCGCCCAGGTGGTATTGGCGAGATCGACCTCGGTGGTGGTATCCCGAGGTCGACGTGGCTGATCAGGTGCAATCGTCAGCACGAGGACGACCTGGTGTGTGCGTTGTGCAGGTGACAAGGCAATGCACGCCAATCATCTGCGAGCACCTGCGAAGTAGGTGCGCTGCTGTTCTGCGGGAGCAACGCTGGCACGCCGTCGACCTGCAGCGTTGGCACGCCGTCGACTTTGCACTGCTGGAGCGCGGTCGACCAAGTCGTGCTGGAGCGCGGTCGACCATGCTGCGCTGGCAGTCGACCTGCTTGCATGCTAGCTCTGATGTAGCCTTGTCTTGCCAACTTTGTTGTATCATTGTTCTGAACTTTTCCTAGTGGAACTCTTGCCAATTCTCCCCGTGAACTAGCAAGTAGTGTGAGCACTTGGAAACGACTAAGGAACGAACGAACGCAAAGATCCCTCCTACCCCGTGCCTAGCCCGTAGTCTAGCTCCCGTTGATAGAGTTATCTCCCCACTTTCCACTCCTTACTCTCACCAACACAGCCACTTTCCCGCCTCCCTCCGTCCATGCTGACCGGACGAAGTGTCCTTATTCCCAAAAAGGGGGACTCTTCGCTAGTGGAAAACCTCCGCCCCATCACCCTCATGAACGCTGACTACAAGGTCCTCGCGCTGTGCGTCGCCAACCGCCTCCAGCTCGTACTGCCCCAGCTCATTCACCCATCCCAAACCGCCTTCATCAAACACAGGAAAATCGGGGACACCATTAACGACACCCTTGACATTATGGACTGGGCTGCATACTCCTCGTCCCCCCTACTCGCTCTTACGGTGGACTTTCACAAGGCCTACGACTTAGTCGACATACCCTTTCTCCTCCAAGTCTTATCAGTTCTGGGGCTCCCCGCACCTTTTATCCACTGGGTCCTCCTTATGCACTCCAACATATACACACGCATCTCGGTCAACAACATGCTTGGCCCCACCTTCCCCGTCCGCACGGGTGTCCGACAAGGCTGTCCTCTGGCACCCCTGCTCTTCGTCTGCGTCATTGAGATCTTCCACCGCTATATGTCCCTCATCCTCCCCGGCTTCGCTCTGTCCACCGCCCAGCGTCGCCTCATGGCGTGCTACGCGGACTATGTCACACTCTTTCTCACCTCAAATACAGAGCTCGGACAAGTCATAGTGTTGCTTGGCGTTTTTGGATCAGTCTCCGGTGAGTTCCCCAAGTAGAACAAGTGCTCCATAATCCCATTCAATGTCCCCCCTGCTGACCTCGTGCACGCTGGCATTATACCCATCCGAGCTCCCAATGAGGCAAAACGCATCCTCGGAATCTATGTCGAGCGTATTCACCCCGGCTCCATTACCTGGAACAAGGCTCTTGCCCGCATACAAAGCACCGCCAAATTCCTAGCAGCCTTACACGCCACAGTCACGTGCCGCAAATCCCTTTCCTCAATCTTTTTGAACTCGGTCATTTCCTTTCTCGGACACAATCAAACGCCTTGACGTGTCAGTTGGGAACTTCCTTTCATCATCGAAACACAAACAAGCTGGCCTCGCACAACGCCTCATTCCCAAAAAGTATCCTGTACAACCCCCCCCAAGACGGCGGGGTTGGGGTGATCGCCCTTTCAACCCAAGTCAAAGCTCTTGCTATTCAGCGCGCCCTGCTCAGATTTGGACCAACCCCCTCCGAGGAAGTTGCACGCACCCTGACCTCGTTCCCTTTCGGGCTACACGGTCTGCTCTCTCATGGCGCCATTCTCGAACGAGACTACCTCCCCACCTTCATCTCCCTTCGGGCGTTAGATGAACTAAAAGCCCTCCTCTCCCTCCCACTGGTCATTCATGGCCCCCCGTTACGCACGCAGTGCATCCTCACCGACCCAACCGCCTTCAACCGCTCGATCCTCAAACCCAACCGTCGGCCTTTCAGCACCTGCCAACACGGGCGCTTCCTCCTCACAGGGCAAATACGCATTGGACACATTGTCCGAATTGTAGACTCTCATATCGGTCCTATATCTGAAGCAGAGTTTTGCTCCCAATTCCCAGAGGAGTTTCAACCAGACGCAGCACGCACCCTCCTAGAGCTTATCGAGGCTATTAAACCATCCTGGTGGGCAACCCTCCGAACCCCACACGCCTCTTCTGCCTCCCGAGGAGACTGGTTCATGCTTTCGAACGACAACAACTCCGCCTCTCAACTCACCCTCCAAGTTGTCTCCTTTATTCCCCCCTCTGCCGCCTCGGCTACTATCCATCACGTCTTGCCAAACAAGCGCATCGCCTGCACCCCAGCAGACACGGGACATTTTCACCTACAAGACCTCGTGGAGGTGCACGTCAGGGGTTGGTGGCTCGCAGGGCCACTTCACAAAGGGGCCGGGTTAGGTGCTAGGGTAGGACTTCTACAGGACGGCATCCCCAGCATCGCCGACATCCGTCGTCTCCTCTACTCAGCACAACCGCTAAACCACCAGCTTCGATGGACTCACGACCTCACCTCCCCTCCTCCTCCTCTCCCCGATCTCAATCACGCGTTTCTCCGAGACCAGCCGAGCCGCCAGCGGGACATCCTTTTCAGGCTCTACACGCTCACCCTTCCCTTAAGTTCACGCTTCCAATACTTTGACGACAGGGGGATCTGTCCCGATGCCCTACCGCCGTCGTCGAGACACTGCCGCATACCGTATCTTCTTCGAATGTTCCTTCGCCGTCAACGTTATTTCGGCCCTCCGCACAGTCGCTAACCGCCACCTCGGACAAACTACCACCGCCGAGCACATCTTATTTCCTATACAGTCACGGGTGGGACAGTCCCCCCCATGGAGCCTACTAGTGGGAGCGACAGTTAAGCCACCGTGGAAGGCACGTTGCGACCACAAATACAACAATTCATCGTCCTCGCACTTCGAGATCCTGCAGCTGATATTAGCCCAGTTCCTCGTCGCCTTCAAGATATTTATGTGGAGAAGTTGGCGCCAATCTACCAAGAAGCGACAGCACACATCCCCCGGTATCAAGCTAGCACAAAAGCTCTGCTTCCTCCTCTTTGACAGATGCGACATACCCTCCATTCACCCCGACCTCAGATTCTTATGGCTCCTGGGGAACCCTTTTCAACCCCCGTAGACAGCTACAGCATAGAGCATCTCCCCAGGTGGCTGGTGGTTGTCCTTTAGGACAAGAAAATAACGTGTGTTCCACGTGCTCCTAATAGGATGATGGCCATCCCGGCCACGTTTCTAAATAGCTCTATGATTTGCGATTTGTACATTGATTACGATCAATATATCACCTTAACCCTCATTTACATCCCCCCCTCAGGTATCTCGCACCGAAACTTACATGGGCGACAGCTTTGCTGTGCAAGGAGTCACAGAATCTGGGCCCTGGTTTGTAACAGACTAAGAAAACTAAGTTTCAGCATAAGACATGTCGATGTAGTATAATGGTCAGTATCTCCGCCTGTCACGCGGAAGATCCGGGTTCGATCCCCGGCATCGGCGTTCTTGCTACCTTGGTCTTGTTTTGTTGCCATTTTTCCTCGGCATTATTTTAAGGCTACTGGAATCTACACGATGATATGCACCTGTACAGCATAACGCATTCAGGTCGCGATAGCCAGTTTCGCGCCACCACCGACGCCACGATCGCAGCGTGCATCCCTCCTGCAACAACTCCCTTGGTCACCACACCACCTTCTCGTCAACCCTTGAGACTGCCACACCGAAGTATTGCCGCAGCGCACGGAAGTTATTCTTCTTTAGCTAGTGCTTGTGTAAGTAGCAGCCAGTCAGCGATGGCAAGAAAACTAGCGAGTTAGGAGCCGATAGCAGCACCACCGTTACTTAAGCCGTCGTCTCGGTCTCCGCATGGCCCGGTCACGGTTGAGTCAACGTATCGTCTTTCTTCTCCTCGCCTTCACATTCGTCGTTCTTCCATCGACCTCGCGCTCAGGTCCGTTGTCGCAGTTACCCCCAGCACCGCCAGTAACTCCGTCGCGTTTTTTAGATTTCTCACCAGTGATTTCGTCGCGCGCGCCATTCCCCGCTGTGTTAATGGTCGCCATCCGCTTCCTCGTTTCTCACCGTCTTTGCCTCTCAGCTGACTTTAGCAACAAAGCGAAAAATTCCGCTCGTTTCGCGAGTCGCTCCGAAAGGCGTTCGCCGGCCTTCGCTTACTCTCGCGTGAGAGGGTGAGTGTCGCCCTGCCGTGAAGTAGCGAATGGCTTGACTTTGGTTGTGAGGTGCTTGAAGCTGGATGTCCTGGGAGAGGAAATAGAGAAGGAGCGGTTCAAAAGAAATATGCTCCATTTAGAGGAGCGAAGTACGGTGGAGAGGTGGAGTGAGCAAGCTGGAGGGGGTGCGGGGTGGCCTGTTGAATTGCTCGGTGTTTTTTGGAATTGATTTGCAAAAACACCCTCCAAATCCAGGGGTGGAGTGGAGCAAGCTGGACGGAGTTGAGGTGCAGGGTGGCCAGTTGACTCGCTTCGTACGAAGTTGACTGACACCACTACTGACGTTTTGTTGACTGACGCGGTTTTATCTGACGTGGTTTTGACGGCTCGACTGACGTGGCTTAAACTGACAACCTTTTTATTGACGTGGCTTTGACTGCCATTCGTTTGGCTTGGCGTGGTATGGCGTGGTAACCCATTGACATGGCATGTGATGACATTGACTGCGGTTTCCCGGAATGGTGTGGCATGTGATGACGTGACGTCACTGAGTGGCTGGCAGGGCTCCATTGGCGGAGTGGCAGCAGCGGCTGCTGACATGGCATGCAGGACAGGCGGGCAGCGGGAGAGACGCACTGGGGGAGCTGAGTGCGGGGGGCGAGGAGTATTGGCATGGGGAGGAGGGGAGTGAGAGTGATGCAAGTGGCGGCGATGGCAGCCGTATGGGGAAGGTGGTGGGGCAAGCAGGTGCAGTGGGGGGGAACGGGAGGGAAGGCAAGGAGGAGGAGAGCGGGCGTGAAAGGGCGGGGACGCATGAAAGGAGGTCAATGGATGCTGGCGGAGGGGGAGGGGGAGGGGGAGGGGTGCATGTGGGGAGAGAAGAAGGTGGTTTTTATGGCAGCAAGGCGGCTGCACACCCAGGGTGGGGTGCAGCGGACTCACACTCACAATGGGATGCAGCGGACTCACACTCACAATGGGGTGGAGCGGACGAGGGTGACTCTCTGCTGGCTGACTTCCTCCCCGTGCTCGACCCGCTTCGCCTGCCATCTCTCTTCCAATCAGCTGCTGCCACCTCAGCCTCTTCGGACACCTCTGCACCACCAGGCCTGCATGCCACGTCAGCAGCAGGGCAGGAGGACGTGGTGAGAGCTGGAGGGTTCCAGTTTGCAGCACGCACAACTGATGCTGACGCAGGCAGCGCAGGGGGAGGCGCACAGGAGGGCAGAGCGGAGGAGAGCAAAGCTGGCGGGCAGCAAGGGGTGGGCCGGGGGAGACAGCTGAAGCAACAGCGCAGCGAGCAGGTGGAGCAGGGCGGAGGGCGAGAAAAGAGAAGCAAGGCAGCCGCGGGTGGGGGAGGTGGGGAGGGAGGGAGCAAGGCAGCGCAGGGGGGACCGATCACGGAGGGCGGCATGAGTCTGACAGAGCTGTCATCCGCAGTGCTGTCGGGGTCGCTGCTGTCTGAAGCCCCTCTCGCCTCCCCCGTGCTCCTCCGCGTTGCCTTCTCCTCCGGCCCCAAGGCAGGCCTCCAGGCCGTGCAGCAGCCACCGCAGCAGCAGCAGCAGCTTCAGAAGGGGGAGGCACGAGCAGCATCAGCAGCGCCTGGGGGTGTGTCGTCGCCATTCTTCCGGCTGTCATCGCAGGTGGACCTATCGCAGTCACGCGTGCAGCTGTTCGGCCCCATGCCGCACTCGCGCCGCCGCACCTTCCCCCTCGCCGTGGCCCACGCCACTGATGCTGCGGGCGGGGAGGTGCTCACTGCTAACTTCACTGTCAAGGTGCGATCCACTCACGAGTCACGTCAACGCCACAGTCGATCGTTCGTTAACGCGTCCCATGACCACCCGTGGTACAATTTTATGCGATGGTATGCACATAGCATATTGCTTGCACATCCTCTCATCCAGCACAAATAGTTGTTCCTGACCCGCCTCTCAACCTTCCACCACACATGTGATGTGCCCATTCCTCCCCGTGTGATTCCGTCTCCTTGCTCCACAGCTGCCGGGAGCCTACAGTGTGATGGTGGTGGTGGCGGACACACAGGGCAACTGCCTCAAGTTCAAGGCGCCCAACTTCTTCCGCTCCGCCATCCCCCTCCCCGCCGCCCTCCTCCCCGCCTCCTCCACGCCGCTCTCCCCCATCACGGCGGCCCCACCGGCAGCGATGGCAGGGCAGCAGGCGCAGATGGCCTTTGCTCTCGTCAGCTCAGACGGCACGCAGATCCCTGCCACCGACGCTGATGTGATTGTTGCCAGTGTGACAAAGGTGAACGGTGCCGCTGGTACCAGCAGCAGCAACAGCAGCAGCAGCGGTGACAGCGGGGGTGGTGGGGAGGGCAGTGAGTGGGGGGAGGGGCCATCAGGGGTGGGCGTGGAGGTGGATGGGGCCTCAGGGCTCATCATTCTGCGCTTCACCCCGCCCTCTCACGGCCACTACTCCCCCACCCTCTCCCTCATCCGCGCCCAGCAGACCATCAATCTCCAAAACCCTCCACCCTCACCCACCTCCTCTTCCGCTTCCTCTGCTGCCTCGTCCGCGCCCTCCTCTCCCTCCTCCTCCTCCTCCTTGCTCCTACAGGTGGCGCCAGGCGAGCCCAGTGCGGACGCCTCAGGGCCGCTGCTGGTGGCGGCGCAGGAGGTGACAGTGGGGCAGACGGGGCGTCTCACAGTGTACGTGCGCGACGCCATGGGCTCCGACCTGCCAGCCGAGTCCCTCCTCTCGCTCTTCTCCGCCTCCTTCTCAGTCGCTTCTAACTTCTCCCAGCAGCAGCTCACCTACCCCGCCACCCTCACCCTCTCTGCCTCCCCTTCCGCCTCGCCCACCTCGCCCTCCAACTCCTCCTCCCTAGATGTCACCTTCGATACAGGCACACTCGCAGGGGTGGCGTCTCTCTCCGTGCTGCTCTCAGGCCGGCACATCCGAGGAAGCCCGTTCCCCTTCACTGTGCTCCCCGGCCCTCTGCACCCGGCTTCCTCGCTGCTGTATGGACCAGGGGCGCATGGAGCAGTGCCTAAGTTCCCTGCGTTCCTGCAGCTGCAGCTGAGGGATGCGTGGGGCAACGTGTTACTAGCAGGGGGCGCAGGGCAGGACGTGCAGGTGGGGGTGGTGCCCGCAGCGCAAGGGGCGGTGGCAGCAGCGGCGCTGGTGGGTGCAGGGGGGAACGGAGCGGTGCAGAGGGGTATGCCAGCGGTGGCGGAGGGTGCGGCGGTGAGTGTGGTGGACAGCGGCAACGGCTGCTACTCCATCTCCTACCGGGTCACCAAGCCCGGGGCCTATGCTCTCCTTGTGACTGTAGGCGATGTGCTCTTGCAGAACGTGACAGTAGCGGCGACCCCAGCAGTGGATGTCAGCGCAGGCAGTGCTGCCGCCCAGCCCACGTGTGTGGTAACCGTATCGCCCGCCTCCGGCCCCATGCAGCAGCTGCTCGCCTTCGCGCCGCCTCTCGTCCAATCAGGAGCCGCCATGTGGCTGCGCATCGTGGCAGTGGATGCAGCAGGAATGGCAGCTGTGTCGGACCCTGCTGTGCTCTCTGCCAATCTCTCCCTCACCCTGCTCTCCACACAGGGGCAAGTGGCAGACATCACTGCCACGCCCATCGCCCCCTCCTTTGGAGGCAAGCCCATCCCCGCACTGTGGCAAGCGCAGGTGACTGTTCAGGTGGCCGGCAGCTTTGTCCTGATCTGCACGGAGTGTCTGGGGCGGGCGAGCAGCATGGTGGTGAAGTCAGGCCTGCCGCTGCAGCTGCTGCAGGGGGATGCAATTGGAGGGGACAATTCCTCCTTCTCTGCGCCTCCCTCTGCCCTCTCTGCCAGTGCTGCATCAGCTGCAGAGCCAAGCGATGGGTTGGAAGAGATCACTCTTGCGGCTCACACGCACTTGCACAAGCACAGAGCGCCCGCTGTCACTGCCAGTGCTGCCAGCACGGAGGCTGCCAGCACGGAGGCTGGCGGCACGGAGGCTGCCAGCACGGAGGCTGGCGGCAGTGGGGAAGCAGATGGCTCGTCATTGTCGGTCCATGATGCTCTCTTCCCCCCCCTCGCTTCCACTGCAACGTCTTCCTCTCCTACTGAATCCACCACCGCCACCAGCAGCAGCAGCACTGCCTCCTCTGCACTGCATGGCCGCACCCTGCAGACTGCTGTTGACACTGCCAGCATCAGCACCAGCATCAGCACCACCACCAGCAGCAGCAGCAGCAGCAGCAGCAGCAGCAGCAGCAGCAGCAGCAGCAGCAGCAGCAGCAGCAGCAGCAGCAGCAGCAGCAGCAGCAGCAGCAGCAGCAGCAGCAGCAGCAGCAGCAGCAGCAGTAGCAGCAGCACCAGCAGCAGCAGCAAGGGTGCGATGGCAGTGGTACAGGACACAAACTACGGGCTCATATCCGGCACACAGGGCTCCTTCTCCCTCACCGTCCTCCCCGGCCCCACCGCCGCCGCCCGCTGCTCCTTCGCCCTCGCCGCCGCCCCCACCTTCGGCCGCGTTGTCGTCGTGGGCGGCGCCGTTCGTCTGCCTCTGCACGCCAGCGACAGCAGCGGTAACCAGCAGAGTTACAGCCTCAGCCGCTACCCCCCCTCAGCTGACGCCTTCTCAGTTGTCGCCTCCCCTGCACCCGCCTGCCAGCCCCCCAAGGGGCAGGCTGTACCTGTTGCAGGGGACGTGGCGTTCGGAAGGCTACAGGCAGGGAGCTTCGATGCTGAATTAAATTTCACCCGAGCAGGAGAGTATACAGTGCAGGGTTACCTGGGGGAGGTGGCATTTGGGGCGAAGGCGGAGAAGTTCATGGTGCTGCCGGGGGAGGTGGATCCGGGGGAGAGCTATGTGGACGGGGGGGATGTGAGGGAGGCGGAGGCGGGCAGTGTGGTGAGAATGAGGCTGGTGCTGCGCGATGCACTGGGCAACACTGCCATCCCCTACCACCTGCTGCTGCCCAACTCCTCCCTCTCCGCCCAACCCCCTGCCTCTGCTGCTGCTGCCGCCTCCTCCTCTGACCCTGCCTCTGCTTCTCTCTTGGCCGCTGCCGCTGCCTCTGCCTCTGCCTCTGCCGCTGCTGCCCCACCGGCGGCAGTGGCAGTGCCATGCTCGGTGGTGCTGAGGCCGGTGAACCTCACCCACCGCGCCTCGTGGTGGGGGGGGCTGTGGACGCAGGGCGAGGCGGACGCGGGCGGGGGAGGGGGGGAGAGCGGGGGGAGTGCGGACGGGCAGGAGGAGGCGGGCACTGTGGTGATGGCGGCTGTGGGGGGCGGGAAGAGAGTGAAGCCGACACAGGAGGGAGCGCAGGGGGGGGGGCAGGAGGTGGAAGAAGCGGGGGGGATAGAGCCAGAAGGGGTGAAGTGCATGTGGAGTGCTGCATGCTCGCTGCCGCTGTGCCAGGCGCTCACTGCCTCTGAATACGGCATGCAGCAGGCAGCATCAGGAGCAGCAGCACCAGGCACAGGCAGCAAGCGATCGGCAGCACAAGGGGCAGGAGCAGCAGGGGCGGCGGCTGGGTGTGTGTTGGACGTGCAGTTTGAGGCGCGGCAAGCCGGTAACTTCAGTGTAACGGTTCTGCTGGAAGGTTCCAGGAAGAAGCTGGTGTTCCCGGTGCCGCTGCTGCAGGTGGTGCCGGGCGCACCCTCTGCTGAGCGCTCTACCATACAGCTGAACAGCAACTCCGCTGCTGCTGGCTCGCCCCCCAACGTCACGGTGGTGGCCAGAGACGCCCTGGGGAATGAGATCCGCGACTTTGACCCCTCCACGCTGCTCTATGCCGTCCTGCCCTCCAATTCGCCCCCGGCTTCCCCCCCCCCTTCACCGCCCCCCTCCCCGTCGCCCTCGCCGTCCCCTTCTCCCCCGTCCTCCCCCGCGCCCTCCCCTGCTCCCTCAGCCCCTCCCCCGCCTGCCTCACCTGCCGGCAGCAACAGCACGGCGGGCAACGGCAGCAGCACCGCCTCGACGGCTCAGCCTGTGCCGCCGCGCTCCCTGCAGGAGTCCCAGTCAGGCAGCAGCGGTGATGGCACCGGGGATGGCACCGGGGATGGCAGTGGGGACAGCAGCAGTGGGAGCAGCAGCAGCAGCAGCACTGGGAGCAGTAGTGGGGATGCAAGTGGGATCAGTGCGCTGGACGCGAGTGCCATGGTGCCAGCAGCAGCAGGTGGGCAGTCCACCCCTCTCGTGGCGCACCCAGTGCTGCGCGCCCTGGGCCCCGTGCAGATCCAGGTGTACCTCGCAGGCCAGCCCATCCCAGGTGCCACCTTCCCCCTCACCGTGCTGCCCGCGCCGCCCGCCGCCGCCCTGTCATACGCGTTCGGGCCGGGCCTGGAGCGCACAGTGGCAGGCGCACCCTCGACGTTCACACTGCAGACACGCACAGCACAGGGGCTGTACCCGGGGCAGACCACGGCAGAGGGGGGAGGCGCGCAGGGCGGGTGGACGCAGCTGGCACAGGGCGGGGTGGGAGACAACAGCAGCAGCAGTGGAAGCACGAGCGGCGGTGGCGGGAGCGCCAGTGCGTGGGGCAGCAGTGCAACGTTCATGGACGGTGCAGTAGCAGTGGTGGTGACGGTATTCGCGCGGCGCAACGTGACCCGCGAGGCCGAGGTGCGATCCGTGGTAGCCCTGGGAGGCGGCGCGTACCGCATCACATACACCACGTACGAGCCGCCCCACGGGGGGTTCTACCGCGTGCGAGTGCAGCTGCATGTGGACGGCAGCGGCGAGCCCCCCGCGGACATCATGGACGGGCCCTTCTTCGTGCCCTTCTTCCGCGGCTCCGCTGCCGCTGCCCTCTCTACGGTGAACGCGTCGCTGCATACGGTGGTGACCCAGCCGGTGAACCAGCCGCTGGTGCTGCTGGTGACCACAGCGGATCAGTTTGGCAACGTGGGCCCCTACAGCCCTCTCATGGATACCCTCCCTCTCGTCTTCACTGCCACTCCTGCCCGCTCCTCCTCTTCCTCCTCGCCCCCTGCTGCCCCTGCCGCCCCGCCCAGCACGTCACTGCGCGACCTGTACAACGGGTCGTGTGTGGCGGTGTTCTCTGCCGCCCAGCCCGGGCGGTACCAGCTGTCCATCAAGATCGCGGGGTACTTTGTGGGCGGCGCCAACGGGCCCATCGACGTGGACGTCACCGACGCTGCTGCCAACGCCACTGCCACTGCCACTGCCACTGCACAGCTGACAGCAACAGCAGCTGCAGTGGCAGATGCAGCACCAACAGCACCCGCACCAGCAGCAGCCGGTGATTCTGATGAGGACAACACAGCAGCCCCAGCAGCAGCAGCAGCGCTGCCGCGGAATCTCCCCGGCGTGGACGCGTTGCTACGGGAGGCAGAGAGCAGCGCAGCAGCAGCAGGCACGGACGCCTGGCAGGTCACCGCCTCCCAGTGGCGCGTCAAGGGGCTAGCAGGCGGAGGCTCGTCCCTCTTCGCCCTCACCCCCACCGACTTCCTGCTCGTCCCCGACGCCAACTCCGACGGCCTCAGTGACGCGCGTGCCGCCTCTGAATCCCCTCGCTCCGCCCCCCTCTCCTGGGACGTGCTTGTCCAGCCAGTCCTCCCCCCGCCCTCCCCCTCCACCCCGGATCCCTCCCGCCCCGCCTCCCGCCCGTCCACAGTGCAGCCTCTGTATGATGGTACCTGCCTCATAGCCTTCACCCCCCCGGGCCCCGGCCCGTTCCTGCTCTCCATCCGCCTCTTCTCCCAGCACGTGCCGGGATCCCCCTTCCTCCTCTCCTCTGTCCCCGGGCCTGTAGCGCCAGAGCGCTGCGACGTGTGGGGGTCGGGGCTGGGGCCGACCGTGACAGCAGGGCAGGCGGTGGCAGTGAGGGTGCGGGCGAGGGACCGGCAGGGGGTGGTGCGGAGGGTGCGGGGGGACCTGTTCACGCTGCAGATCTTTGGAGGGGGCGGGGCGGGTGGAGGGGGAGGGGGGGACGCAGGGCTCTACTCCAGCTCGCTGCTGCAGCCGGCAGCCCAGGGAGGCGCGCAGGAGCAGGGGGTGTACGAGGGGGGGTATACCGCCGTGCAGGCGGGGCGAGTGGCGGTGTGGGTGGTGTTTCACAACACTATTGTTGCCACCGCTGCTGTCACTGTGCTGCCCGGCCCGCCTGCTGCTAACACGTCTGCGGCGCTGGTGCCGGCAGGAGGGGTGAGGGTGCGGGCGGGGGGAAGAGCTGAAGTGCTGGTGGCGCTGAGAGACGGGCTAGGGAACGTGGCTTCCTTTGATCCCAGTGCTGCTGCCAACACTGCCGCCAACACCGCCGCTGCCTCCTCCCAGCTCTCTGTGAAACTCCTCTCCTCGCCTCTCCCCGCCTCCTTCCCCGCCCCCACCTTCTCAGCCACCACCATCAACCCGTCCCTCATCGCCCTATCAGCCCCGCTCACCATCGCCGGATCGTACCAGCTGCAAGTGCTGCTCAACGGCTCGCCCCTCCCCTCCCCGCCTCTCACCCTCCAAGTCTTCCCAGCCACCCCCGCCGCCTTCTCCCTCTCCGGATTCCCCCCTGCTGCCTCCTTCCCCGTGGCCCGCCCAGTGGTTGTCCACGTGGCGCTGCGTGATAGGTTTGGGAACGTGGTGGGGCACGGGGCGGGGGAGGAGGGGCGGGTGGGGGGGTCGGTGACGGTGTCGCATGGGGATGAGGCGACGGGGGGTGTGGTGGGGGAGACGTATATGCTGAACGTGACTGCAGTGAATGTGACTGCAGCGGAGATGAGTGGGACGGAATGGCAGGGCACTGTAGCCACCACTGCCACTGCTGCGGACACCACTGCCGCTGTTGCGGACACCACTGCCAGCACAGCTGCCACTGCAGGCCGCAGCAAGCCAGCCGCCACACCCGCCCCTTCTCCCTCTCCCGCCTCCCCTTCCTCCTCCCCCGCCTCCGCCGCCCCAATCCCTGCCTGGCAGCTTTCCTTCACACCACAGACCCCAGGGCAAGCCTCTCTCCAGCTCGTGGTGGGTCCTCCCAACGCTGCCCTGCCCCTCTCCGACCCCGCCTCCTCCCTCCCTCTGCAAGCCTCCATCCTCCCGCGCCCCGTCAGCCTCGCCCACTCCACTCTGTACGGCGCAGGGGTGCAGCAGGGAGGGGGGGTGCGGGCGGGGACAACGGTGGAGATGGGCATGTGTGTGCGGGACGCACAGGGCTTCCCTCTCCTCACTGACTCTGCCAAGCTGCTCAAAGTCGAGGTGGCTCTCGCCTTTTTTTCTCTCCCTGCGCCTACGCCCGGGGCCTTCCTGCCCGTGCCTCCAGCCTCGGCCGTGCCTCGCGCCCGAATGGGGTACGGCGGCGGGTGCATCTTCCGAGGCTCATTCAAACCCCCCAACAACACAGCCACGGCAGCACCATCAGCAGCGGCAGCGGCAGCAGCGCCGCCGTACGGGCTGTCAGTATCCGTGCTAGTCAACAGCCGCCCCGTCCGATTCCAGTCCACCAACATCACTGTTCTCCCCGCCCTGCCGCCCAACGCGCCCCTCCCGGCCAATCTCACGGTGACAGCTGTCACGGCCGACGGGGTCCCCATTCCTAACGGCTACCAGCTCCGGGGCGGCGCGGCTGGTTCGGAGACCAAGTTCGGCGTGCGGTTCACCGATGCTAGCGGCACGGCGGTGCTGGTTCAGGATGACTCGGCCTTGGTGCTCAAACTCACACCCTCTTTTGACGCTCTCGACCCCGACCCCACTCTGCTCTTCGGCCCTGCTGCTGCCGCTGCTGCTGTTGCTGCTGCTGCAGGCGCGCAGGGGGGTGGGGCGGAAGGGGGCAAGGACAGTGTGAGTGTGAGTGTGAGCAAGGGAGGGTACGTGACGGTGACGGTGGTGGCAGCGGCGGCGCATGTGGCATGGCGCAACGTGCATTACTCCACGCCCGACGGCTCGTCTGCTGGCTGGTTCCAGCTGCTGCTCGCGCCAGGTGAGGCGATGACCAGAATGGGGGGAGTGGAGTGGAGGGCATCTCAAGTGCCAACTGTCTGTCTGCTGTGTTGTGTTGTTTCCCGCCCTCAACTGCTGGATTCGACTCACAAGGCACCTCCCTAGGGCAGTCTCGATTGACCTGCGAGTGTTCACCCACGTGTGATGCGTGCGTCTCCTCAGAGCTGCTGTATCTTTGCCGTGAGAAATTATGCATGGTACGTGTGCCTGCATGGTGTGAATCCGTCATGTTCCCATCATGTTCCCATCATGTTCCCATCATGTTCCCATCATGTTCCCATCATGTTCCCATCATGTTCCCATCATGTTCCCATCATGTTATGTCCCTTTCCTTCCCGGCATGCACTCTCAGGGCCGGCCAAGGCAGTGAGGGTGGACGCGGCAGCGCTGCAGGCGTGTGGGAGGGGGGCGTGCATGGTGGGGCGGCGCACAGCCTTCAGCATGGCGGTGGTGGACGCCTCAGGCGCCGCGCGCACCTTCAACCGCCTCACAGGGGAGGGCGACTCGCTCACCGTGCTGCTCACCCGCCCTGCCAGCAACCAGGTGGGTCACGCTCCTCATGTGCCCCATGCCCCCCTCCTCGCCTCGCTCTGCACCGTCAAGCAATTCGACCGTGTCCAAAAGGGTCTGCATCATCATCATCATCATCATCATCGTCGTCGTCGCCGTCGTCGTCGTCGTCGTCGTCGTCGTCATCATCATCATCATCATCATCATCATCTCATGAGTGTGCTTGAGATTCTCAACCCCCTTAGTGCTTAAGTTCTTCGCGCCCCTTCCCCTTCCTCCCCACCCCTCGCTTCTCCCATCCTCCCATCCTCTCCTCGCTGCCTTGTGCCGCACCACTCAGCCTGTCTTTACTTCCGCTGCCACTGTCAACTCCAAGGGGAACTATCTTGGAAGCTTCCTGCTGTATGAGCCAGGCAACTTCACGCTCTCAGTGCTTCTGAACAACCAGACGGCCTTCAGCATCCCGATCCACATCTTGCCAGGTCCGTGATCTTCCCGTTCCTCCCTTGCCAGTCCACATGTTGCCACGTCAGTCCACATGCTGCCACGTCAGTCCACATGCTGCCACGTCAGTCCACATGCTGCCACGTCAGTCCACATTCTGCCACGTCAGTCCACATGCTGCCACGTCAGTCCACATGCTGCCACGTCAGTCCACATGCTACCAGGCCCGCTGCTCCCAGCCAGGTACCAAAGGTGACCTCCTTTCATTCTCCTCTCATTCATCTCCTTTTCTTCACTTGTCAGCCCTTAAAAAACCACACTCAATCTCCACCCACCTCTCAATCCCACCCCCACCCGTCCACACCAGGCCCCTTCTCCCCGTCGCTATCGCGCCTGCACGACCTGTCAGCCACAGCAGTGGCGGGCCAGCCCTACAGCTTCAACGTCACTCTCGCCGACGCCTTCACCAACCCCTACCTGCTGCCGGGCCTGCCCCTCCTGCTGCACACGCGCTCGCCCTCCTCAGAGGCCCACCACGGGGTGCTGCTCTCCTCGCCCTCCGCGCCCACCCTCACCGCCACCATCACTGTCTTTGAGTCCGGTCCGGCCCACCTCTCCGTCACCCACCTGCCCTCGGGAGCTCACCTCTGGGGGTCGCCCTTTACTTTTACTGTGCTGCCCGGCCCGGTTGCTCCGGCTGCGTGCTCGCTGCTGGGCCTGGTGAACGGTACGCTGGTGGGCAGCAATCAAACCTTTCTGGTGGTTGCCCGGGATTTGTATACGAACCCGATAGAGTACCCCACAGCAGGCGAGTCAGGGCTGACCTTGAATGTCACATTCGTCCCTGCCCCATCCTCCTCCTCCTCTGCTGCTGCTGCTGCTGCTGCTGCTGCTGCTGCCAGTGGCAGCAGCGCAACAACAGCAAGGGCAGCAGCAATGCAGCCCACACAGATTGACTCATCTCTCAAGAATCCCAGTCTGCCAGCTGGCGGCCTCGTTTTCACCTTCCCCACGGCAGCAGCAGGGACGTACACAGTGTCAGCCAAAGTGGGTCCCACACACGTCATGGGCAGCCCTGCTGACGTGGTAGTGTTACCGCCTGCGCCGTCAGCTAGTGTGCTGGCTTCCTTCGACCGCTCCCAACGCGCCCTCTCTGTTGCCTTCTCTCCCACTCCCACCCTCTCCTCGCCCTCCACTGCTAACGCTGGAGCACCTCCGGCAGGGGGGGCAGCAGGGGGGGCAGCGGGAGGCATGGGGGGAGGGGGAGGTGTGGGGCAGCAGGAGTGTGCAGAGCTGCTGGATGGGGAGAGCCTGGCGCGGGTGGGCACGGGCGCGCAGTGCGTGTGGCAGGACTCGTCCCGCCTGCTGGTCTATCTGGGCTTTAACTCCTCCCTGCGCCCCTTCACCTCCCTCACCGCCGCCACCGCCCCCAACGCCACCCTCTCCTTCCTCCCCACCCTCTCCGCCCCCTCCTCCTCTCCCGCCTCCCCCTCCTCCCCCGCCTCCGCCTCCGCCTCCCCTCTCGCTGTCGGCGTCGGCCCACCAGGCGGCGCGTCAGGGGCACGAACCCCTCAGGAGGTGCAGGAAGCAGTGCAGGCAGGAGCAGTGGTGGTGGCAGCACTGGACGCGCCGGGCACGGTGGGCATCTGCGATGCGCTGGTGCTGGACGCGTCGGGGTCGCGGTCGCTGCACGGGGCAGCGCTCTCCTTCTCCTGGCGCGTGTTCTCCGATGCGGAGTCGCTCTCGCTGGACCTCCTCGTGTCGTCACAGGGCGCTGACGCCACCACTCTCACCATCCCGCCCAAGACGTTGACTCCCGGGGCAGCATACGAGGTGAGAGGGTAGATAGGCGCGTGAGGGGGGCAGTAGGTAGGTGTGTGAGCAGAGGGACGCTGACGGAGTCGCTCTCGCTGGCCCCCCTTGTGTCGTCGCAGGGGGATGACGCCACCACGCTCACCATCCCACCCAAGACGCTCACCCCCGGGGCAGCTTATGAGGTGAACGGGGCGATGAGTTGGTGAGGGGGGCAATAGATCTGTGAGCAAGAGGATCGCTGAAGTGAAAGCCACTCGAAAACACTGCTGCTCTTATTTTCCCTCTCATACTCACCCGATGCTCATCCCCGTTCTCCTCTCCTCTCCTGCCCTCCCCCCCTCACTCCCTACCGCCCCTTGCCTTGCCCCACATGCCTCTCACTCTCTCCTCCCCTCCAGTTCGCAGTCTTCGTGTCGGACCCCAACGGCTGTTGAGTCGCCTAAAAAGTCGCCCCTTTTTCCGCACGTGCCTCTCCCTCTCCCCCCTCCAGTTCGCAGTATTCGTGACGGACCCCAACGGCCGGGCAGCCAACGCATCACTGCTCGTCACCCAGTCCGCCACGGCCGCCCCCTTGCTGCGCATCCTCGCCCCCGCCTCCCCCTCCGCCCTGCGCCTGCTCTCCGCCCGCCCCGGCGACTCCCTCACCATCTCCTCCATCGCCTCCCTGCCCGACTCCTCCTGCCTCCCGCCCTCCTCCTCCTCCTCCACTGCCTCTCCTCCCCCACCAGCAGCATCAGCAACAGCAACAGCAGCAGCAGTGGTACCTGCATCGGCAGCGGTCTCAGCAGCAGCAGCAGCAGCACCAGCACCGGCATCAGCAGCATCCCCTCTCCCCGCGCCAACACCCACAGCGACCCCTTCCCTCCTCGCCCTCTCCAACGCCCCCCCCTCCCTCACCTTCTCCTGGTCCCTCATCGCCGGCCCGCCTCTCAACTTCTCCCTCCCCGCCCTCGCCCGCTCCCGCCACTCCCCCGCCCTCACCATCCCCCCGGGAACCCTCCAGCCGGGCGCAACCTACGTCCTATCCCTAGAGGCCACGTCAGCAGCGGACCCTGCCGTGAAAGCAACGGACCGAGTGGCAGTGAGGGTGAGTGCGTCGCCTCTGAGAGTGGCGATATCGGGCGGAGACAGGGTGGTGTCGGTGGGGGAGCAGCTGCTGCTGCAGGCGGTGGTGGTGGATGCAGACGAGGCGAGGGACAGCGCGGGGAAGCCGCTGCCGATTCAGTACACGTGGGGCTGTGAGGCGCTCTCAGAGGAGCAGGCTCGCCTGCCTCCCACGGCTCAAGCTCAAGCCATGTCCACACCTACCAGCAGCAGCAGCAGCAGCAGCAGCAGCAGTGCGGGTGGTAGTGCGGGTGCGTCGGCCTGTTTCCCCAGCGCCACGGCAGTGCTCGCCCAGAGCACCTCGTCTCTCACTGTCCCCGCCAACGCCCTCCCCCCCGGCTCCTACCGCTTCACCCTCCTCGTCTCCCGCAACCCGCTCTCCCTCCCCGGCACCTCCCCCGCGGCGCTGGCCCGTGAGAGCGTGCCAGCTGTCGCCGTGGTAACCGCTGTGGACCGCGCGGTGCCGGCCGCTGCGGTTGGCGTGGCGGCGGCTTGGGGGCGGGCGGCAGGGGCGATGGCGGAGTGGGCTCCGGGGGTGCAGCAGGGCAATACTGGTGGTGATGGCGGTACAGGTAGTGCTGGCAGCACGGGTGGCTCTGGTAGCCCGGCTGGTGCCGGTACTACAGACAGCAGCAGCAGCGATGGGTCTGGTTCAGGTGGTGCTGGCAGCACTGGCGGTGCTGGTTCTACAAGCAGCACTGGCAGCAATGGCGATAGTAGTGGCAGCGGGTCTGGTTCTAGCAGTTCTGGTAGCACTGGTGGTTTTGGCAGCACCAGTGCTGCTGGTTCTACAGGCACCAGCGGCAGCAGCGCAAACAGTGGTAGCAGTGCAACAGGCACGGGGGCAGGAGGGACAGCAGCAGCAGCAGCAGCAGCAGCAGCAGCAGGAGCAGCAGCAGGGGCAGCAGCAGCAGCAGCAGATGGGGGCAGCAGGGGAGTGCAGGCGGGGATAGCGGTGGATCGGGCCAAGGCAGTGGAGCTGCAGTGTGTGGTGGACGCCATGCCCTATGCCTATGCATGGAAGCAGGTTCTCTCCGATGGCACTCTCCTCGACCTCAATGGTATGTGCTGCTGCTGCTGTTGCACCATGCCACCATCGCCTGCCCTCACTCGCATCTCATCTCGTTTCTCCTTCAATCGCCGCTCTTCTCACCCCTCTCCCTCCCCCAAACCAATCCCCCCAAAATTTCCCCCCTATGCATGCAGTGACGAACCAGCCGTTGGTGCTGCCGCCCTCACAGCTCGCCCGGGGCGACGCCTCCACCTACCGCTGCGACGTCTACTCGCTGCCACTCCCCTCCCCTTCCTCCCCCGCCTCCCTCGCCTCCTCCCTCACGCCCGACGGCCAGCCCGCCACAGCCATCCCGGCCAACCCCCCCCAGCCCACCACGTCCGCCTCGCTAACCCTCCCCGCCGCCAAGGCCCCCTGGGGAGGAACGTTCCTCGTGCAGCCCGCCCCCGGGGACACCACAGGGCAGCTCTTTGCTCTCTCCGCCCCTGGCTGGTCCGCCCAGCCCCAGGACCTGCCACTCTCCTACACCTTCGGCACCTTGCAGCCTCCCTCCTCCCCCTCCTCCTCTTCCACCTCCCCTTCCTCCTCCACTGCAGCCCTGCAGCCGCTCACGCTGCCCTCCGCCTCGCCATCAGCCCTCATCATCCTCCCCCCCGGCAAGTCCTCCCTGGCAGTGCGAGTGGCCTCTGCTGCCGGTGCTGTCACGGACGCCGTCGCCCCCCAACCCGTCACCGTGCCCACATCTGGCGCTGCTGGAAGCTCAGGGTCGGGAATGCGGGGAGAGGAGGGCACAGGAGACGAGGGCGGGGAGGAGCTGTCATCGGAGCAGTGGCTGGCAGCGGTGGCGGCGCCGGCAGCAGCAAGGCAGGATGGTGCGCAGCTGCTGCAGGCCGTGGCTGCATGGGCCAGCATGTTCAGAGGCAACGCCTCCTCCCCTGCTGGCAGCAGCAGTGGCACGGACGCTCAAGGTGGGATGGTGGATGGAGGGTGAGCGATTGATTCTCATCTGTGTGGTTGTGTGTCAAGCATCTGAGATGTATGCGTGCTCGTGCTGCTCACTATGTGGTTTTCCCCATCCACCGGGCATAGCAAGCTTTGTTCATAAATCCATCATGTCTCTCCTTCTCCTCACCACCTTCCAGTGGAGATGCTTATAAAGGAGGTGATTCAACAGAGCAGCACAACAGTGGTGACATCGCAATACGCTGAGCTGGCAGCATGCAGCTTGACAGCACTCTCTCCCCTCCCCGCCAGCCTCGCACCATCCACATCAGCAGCGCTGGTTGACTTTCTTGACTCGCTCACAGCTGCACCAGACGGCATCTCCTCCCGCGCTGGTCATGTGCGTCCCACCCACAGCAACCCCCCTCTGCGTGCCTCTGTGCTTGATTCCACCCTTGCCTCCATTCATGTGCACTTTTCTCTCAGTTGTCTCGTTTGAGATTTTCGGTCTTGGCGGTTTCAATCCGCCATACATGCACCACTGTGGTCAATGGGACATGGTCATACTGCTGCCCTGTGTCTCAATGCACCATGGCATGGCCCTCAAGTCCAATTCTACATCTACCCGTGCCGCTACCGCTCTGCTCTCCCTCTGCCTCCGCCCGGCCTGTGCATGCATCATCCTATCCACGAGACTCCTCATTCACTGCCACTGCTGCTGATCTTCTCATTCACTGCCACTGATCTTCTCAGCACTCCATTCCACCCTGCTCACCTCGCATTGCTTCCTCTTCCCATGTGCCCCAACACCTGTCCCCCTCTCCCCCTTCCATCCACCTCGCAGTGCATAGTTACGCTCACGTCTGACCTCCTCGCACTCTCCCCCCCACCCGTAGCCTCTACCTCCCCACCAACCGCCGCCGCTGCTCCTGCCACCACCGCTGCCGCTCCTGCCACACAGAATGCATCTCCCACACCAACCGCTGCCGCCCCACAACCCGCTTCCCCCTCTCAACGCACCATCGCCCTTCAAGTCACCGCCTCTCAACCCGCCTCCCCCTCTCAAACGCCCTCTGCACCGCAAGCAGCCTCAACAACACTGTTCCAGCTGCCAGGCAGGGTGGCGGCTGCGGTGTTGTCCCACCAGACGCCAGGAGCGCTCTTCCAAGCCTCCTCCACCAATGTCAACCTCTCCGCCGCTAAAGGTACCTGTGCCTGCCTCGCAGTGAATGAGAGTGTTGGGCTGTCCGTGTCTTCCTTTGCTCTCCCGCTCTCCCAAGGTCCCAAACCAGCTCGTGCTCCTCAGTGTCTCTTCACCTCTCCAGCTCATTCACTGCATTGCACCGCCTCTCCGTCCTTTCTGAGTGTTTCTGGACCTGCCCTTCAAAGCCAGTATCTCCTTCACCATTCAACCTGTATTCCCTTCCCCCTTCCGATTCCGCCTCCCTCCTCCTGAACCCATCATGCAGTGCAGCGCATGGCATCGCCATCACAGCAGGGCGAGTTCGCAGAACTGCTGCCAGCTGCTTTTGGGTGGTACTTACCCTTCATCTCCTAAATCCTCTCCCCCTTTCCCTCCCCTCGCTCCCCTTCCCCTCCCGCGCTGCAGTGCGGCGCATGGCATCGCCATCACAGCAGGGCGAGTTCGCAGCGCTGCTGCCAGCTGCCTCGCTCGCACTCAACGCCACGGACGCCCGTCTGCCCACCGGCACGGCCTACATCGCTGCCTTCTACGCCTTCTCCGCTGCCCACCCCCTCGGCCTCTCCAGGTGCGTGTGATGCCAGCATCTGGTCATCCCATGCTTGTTCAAGTCTCACCAGCCCTTTTATTCTTTGTTTGTGCGTCTTTCTAAAAAGCCATCACTTAAAGACTAGCTAGTAGATTGTCTGTTGCACAGAGCAGGATGTATCATCTCTCAAGAAAGGGTAATCAACCATGTGCCATGGGGATATTGTGCCATGTACCTTGCATGAGACCCTTCTCATGGGGTTCCACCCTCCTTGCATCTGTTCTCTCTCTGTTGCAGTCGAGTGGTGGGGCCGCCAGTGGTGGTGAGGGCAGTGGACGCATCTCTCTTAGACCTCAACGTATCAGCGCGTGTCAGCATGCTCTCTGCCCCCCAGCCCGCCACGGGTACGCCATCTTTCACCTTCTATGTATCTCATCTACTTTCTGCTCTGTTCCATGCGTTTCTTTTCGTGCATAGATGCCTTCTCACTAAACAGACTGCTACTTATATGGTGGATCACTGCTTGTGTGAGTTTTGCCCAAATCCACGTCATTCCAACCCTTCTCACCCTTGCAATGCTTATGTCCGTCCTGGCCCTCTGCCTCATAAGAAGCCGGTTAAAGTCATGGTTACTGCACCGTTGTATCTGCCCCTACCAGAGCTGGGAGTGGCACGGTGCGACGGCTCAACCTGGTCCTCCACCTCTCTGCACCAGCTCCCCACCGCATCCGACCCCTCAGGCCTGCTCACAATCAACACCTCAGACCCAGCTGCCGCTCTTGCCCTCGCAGCCGCATCCATAGCCGGCCCCCTCCCGGCCGCCTTTGCTCCCTACGTTCTCCGCGTGGACCTCCCGCCGCTTCCCCTGCCGACCATCCCGCCGCCACCCCCGGTGCAGAGTGGTATGAGTGCTCTTACTGTGGCTCTGGCGGTTTCGCTGCCCATTGCTGGAATGATTGCATGCATGGCGCTTGGACTGGAGCTAAACCGGAGGAGAAAGCCGGTTGCTGATGGAACCGAGACAGGCTCATTCGATGAGAATGAGTACTGATAATGACAAGTCGAAGCTACGGCAGTCGATTTAAAAAACAATTATTATTGCTATCGCATTGCGTCAATCTTGAGCGTCTAATCAAATTCATCCCAAAATAATGGGGTTGTTTAAAAATCAGAAAAGTGGTTGTATGTGAGTAAGAGTTCATTCTAGAGGCTTGTTTCGTTATTAGCTCAAGACTAACCTCGAAAATGTTAAGTGAAGAAGCTTGTGCGTTGCAGGTGAAACCCCCGTTGACCGCATTTGACGGAGGTCCTAAGCCAGCAATGGTTGGTCGATCCTGCAAATTGTTGGTCCCCCAGAGTTTTTTATCAACCCCAACCATGTTTGGGTGGCCAGCTTCATTGGCCCACCTATAATGTTATGGGCACGTATCCAAATTTCTAATAATTGCTAATATCGCGTTCTGAAGACATCCAAAACGGTTGAGTAGGTTTGCGAGGGCTGCAACATTGGTGAGGTTTGCCCTCTAACCTGTTCCGCGGCGAAGCCTATTTTCCTCTGCAGGTGCAGACACCATCGAATTGCCGGGCCGGGGGTCGTTCCTAACGGCAATAAGCGTGCGTAAGACCAGCCCGATCGGACCTGCCGCCTGATTATTCCGATAATTACTACCACCCACCGTCATGTTCCCGTAAAAAGGCCGGCATGCTCTGCCTCCGCGTTTCGCGCCGAAGCCGGCTTTCCTCTCCAGGTGCAGACGCCGTCGTAGGGCGGAGCTCGGATCGCTCCTTACGGCAGCAACTGTACGCTTGCAGCGCGAAAGATTCCGCTCACGATGCTGCAGGGGTGCTTGTTGCTCAGAGCTTCCGCAGCCCACGCCGACCCCTACCCCTCGCCGACTCGGCAGGAAGAAGTCCTGAAACCCATGGCGCGCCGCGCTCGGGCGACGTGCGCTGCGAGTCCATTGTATTGACCACATTGCCGAACACCACGTATATATGACGTGCGTACGTACAGCATCCCGTATAGCCCACGCTCGAGAACCCCGCATTCACGACGCGCAGGAGAAAACTACCAGTAGCTTTCCGTGACCTCCTTTTCAAGCCTGTCCGCGCTCTTTGGTGCAACTGCAAACTCTCGCCATGACAGGGCTTCGTGCCGCCTTCCTGCTGCTTCACTCGCTCCTCCCTCTACTCGTCGCCCTCCGCCTCCCTGCCGCCGTTTCCGCGACGCGCCTCCCCCCGCCGGGCTTTGCAGCGGCTCTCGCGGCGAGCCCCGCGGCCGAGCAGCTGGCACTCGGCGGCGCGGCGGGCCTGGCCGAAGATGCGGCGCGGATCCACGCAGCCGCGGCGCGCGGGGCAATAGCGGGCCGTGCTCTTAATGAGGACACAGAGTACTTGCCCCGTTCGACGGGCGCGCGAGTTCTGGCGGAGATCAAGCCGCTGCATTTTGCCACTGACACTGAGGGAGCGCGTGCTGCTGCGGATGCTGCTGTGCGTGCTGCTGCGGATGCTGTGGCTGGCGCCCCAATTGGGCAGAGAGGAAGGGAGTTAATTATTGAAACTATTGTTTTGGGGGTGGTGGGGGCGGTCAAGGTGGCCAAAGCTGCGGGGTTGGCGGCTGCGGCAAACGCGGCGGCTGCGGCGGGTGCAGCAAAGGCGGCGGCTGTGGCGGGTGCAGCAAAGGCGGCGGCTGCGGCGGGTGCAGCAAAGGCGGCGGTTGCAGCAAAAGCGGCGGCTGCGACCAAGGCGGCGGTTGCGGCAAAAGCGGCGGTTGCGGCAAAGGCGGGAAAAGTGGCGGCAGTAGCGGGGAAGGCAGTGAAGACGGTGAAAGCTGGGGGGTCTGCGCTGAAAGCAGCCAAGACAGCTCAGGTGGCGAAGGTGGCAAAAGCAGTGAAGGCAACTAAGGTGGCGAAGGCAGTGCAAGCATCCAAGGCTGCCAAGGCCGTGAAAACAGCAAAGGCGTTCAAAGCAGCTAAGGTGGCCAAGGTGACACAGGCGGCAAAGGCGAGCAAGGCTGGGCAGTTGGTGCAAGCGGCCAAGGGGACCAAGGCAGCTAAGATGGTTGCTGCGGCGAAGGGGTCTAAGGCTGGCAAGGCGGCGGCCAAGGGCAAGCAGATGTATGACAAGGCGAGTAAGGCGAGGAAGGCTTACAACCGGCTGGCACCGGCCATCAGGGCGCCGCGGATTTAACCGGGTAGCTGGCAAGGCAAGGCAGGGTGAGAAGGTGAAGCTATCTGTGCGGGTCTCTCTACCTCATGGACACGTCACCACAAGCCACTTTCAGAAGGTCAGCTTTCCGCGTGGCTCTCTCTACCTCGTCGACACATCACCACAAGCCCACTTTGTGGTGGCATGTATGTGTGTGGGCGCTGAGTGTGGGAGGAGGAGTGTGCTCTTGTGTGTGTGAGGGGGAGGGGTGGGTGGGGGAAGGGGTGGTGGGGTGGGGGGGTGTGCGTGCGTGCGTGTGTGAGTGTGTGTGTGTGTGTGTGTTTGTGGGTGTGTGTGTGTGTGTGTGTGTGTGAGTGTATGGGTGTGTGTGTGTGTGTTTGGGTGTGTGTGGGTGTGTGTGTGTGAGTGTATGGGTGTGTGTGTGTCTGTGTGCGTGTGTGTGTGGGTGTGTGTGGGTGTGTGTGGGTGTGTGGGTGTGTGTGTGGGTGTGTGTGTGTGTGTGTGCGTGGATGTGTGTGTGTGTGTGTGTGTGGGTATGTGTGTGTGTGTGTGTGTGTGTGTCTGTGTGGGTGGGTGGGTGGGTGGGTGGGTGGGTGGGTGGGTGGGTGGGTGTGTGTGTGTGTCTGTGTGGTTGTGTGTGTGTGGGGGGTGAGTGTTTGGGTGGGTGTGTGTGTGGGTGTGTGCGTGCGTGCGTGCGTGCGTGCGTGAGTGCGTGTGTGCGTGCGTGCGTGCGTGCGTGCGTGCGTGCGTGCGTGCGTGCGTGCGTGCGTGCGTGCGTGCGTGCGTGCGTGCGTGCGTGCGTGCGTGCGTGCGTGCGCGCGTGCGTGCGTGTGTGTGTGGGTGTGTGTGTGGGTGGTTGTGTGTGTGGGGGGGGGGGTAGTTGTGTGGTGTGTGGGTGTGTGTGTGTGTGGGTGTGTGTGTGTGGGGGTGTGTGTGGTTGGCAATGAACGCCCCCGCTGTGAGCTGCTAGCGAGCACAAGGGAGGTGGGGGGGGGGGGGGGAGGGGGGGGGTGGGGGGGGTGAAGGGGCGACACACTGAGGGCAGAGGAGGGCAGAGGAGGGCAGAGGAGGGCAGAGGAGGGCGGAGGAGGGCAGAGGAGGGCAGAGGAGGGCGGAGGAGGGCAGAGGAAGGCAGAGGAGGGCAGAGGAGGGCAGAGGAGGGCAGAGGAGGGCAGAGGAGAGTAGTTGAAATTTGAAGAGGTGGCTGAGAAGGGAAGAAGTTTATTTAGGCAATATTGTCAAACCTTCAATCTGAATGCTCTGTGAAGCTTTGCATTGCAGCCCTGGCCCGCACTGATAACTTCAACGCGCTTAGGGTACATTCCTGGTGCTAGAAAGGCATAGTGCCGGCGTAGCGGAAGCCTTGATGTATGAGAGAATAGCAAGAGAAACCTTGCAACTGAAAGGATTGAGAACAATGGATTGATAATGAGAGCACACAGCAGGGTATTTATCCATGCAGCTACCCTGCCAAAGTCTAGCCATCCCCACCAATACCGTAATTGTACCTCCAATAATGGCAGCTCCAATAATGGAGTACCAATAATTCTACCCCCAAACCTCTAGACTCCAATAATGCAGTCCCTACAATAATTGTATAATTATTGTAGGACCTGGAGTCTTATAAAGAGGATTACACTAAAACCTAACAGCATATGTATTTTCTTATGCTTTATATTTCCAACACCTGGAGCGCGCACAAAAGCCTCGCGTTTCAAAAGACGATATATAGTGCGGTGGGAATAAATGCGGTGCAGAGCGGTACACTGCTTTTGTGACGCCTAATTAAAGACATGTCTGTGTGGGGGGGTGTGGGTGTGTGTGTGTGTGTGTGTGGGTGTGTGTGGGTGTGTGTGGTTGGCAATGAACGCCCCCGCTGTGAGCTGCTAGCGAGCACAAGGGAGGGGGGGGGGGGGGAGGGGGGGGGGGGGGGGGGGTGAAGGGGCGACAGTGCGACACACTGAGGGCAGAGTAGGGCAGAGGAGGGCAGAGGAGGGCGGAGGAGGGCAGAGGAGGGCAGAGGAGGGCAGAGGAGGGCAGAGGAGGGCAGAGGAGGGCAGAGGAGAGTAGTTGAAATTTGAATAGGTGGCTGAGAAGGGAAGAAGTTTATTTAGGCAATATTGTCAAACCTTCAATCTGAATGTGTTAGAATGGTCTAAGCTACTAGCGGAAGCTATTGTAGTCTTAGAACCTCCTCATAAAGCCTAGGAATCTTAGGAGCCAACTTGGGCATGAACCATGCTAGAACCAAAGGGGTTTTCAAGAAGTGAAGTTCCAACAAGAGAGATCCCTAACCTATAGGGTTTGGGAGGTGGTCCACTCTAAAGAGTGTACACCACAAGTTCTCCCAACCCAACCAATGTATTCTACACTACTATAGTGTAGATCTAGCACTACATATGTTTATTGGAGCAACCTGAATTAACCATAATTCCAACACCCCCCTTTGCTCCAATAAGCATTAAAGTTCACCCATCAATCAAAACACAACTCCTTTAGCGAATGAAGCCTTGGCCTTTGAAGTCATCACTCGCATGCCGATGCGCTCAAGATTCCCATGCAGCTGCAGGCTTGGGAGAGCTTTGGTGACCATGTCGGCATCCTGGAGGTGGGAGCGTACTGAGTGCACCTCGACCTCCTGCTGGCGCACCGCATCCCGTACAAAGTGCCAAGCCACCTTAATGTGCTTTGTGCGCTGATTGAGAACGGGATTGTGGGCAAGGGAGACAGCAGCCTCATTACAGAACAATGGAATTGCCCCCCCATCGCCCACATGCATCTCTGCCAACAAACTCCTCATCCAAATGGCCTCCTTGGCCCCCTCCGATAGAGCCTTATACTCAGCTTCAGAAACGCTCGCTGCAACACTGTCTTGCCGTTTGCTATACCAGCTGATAGCTCCTCCTCCCAACTTAAAGATGTAGGCAGAGCGACTCTTACCATCAGTCTCACCACCCCAATCCGAGTCGGTGTACCCAACAACCTGCTCACCACCTTGGCGTTCATACCTGATGACACGATCAGCTGTGTCGACCAAGTACCTGAGTGCTCTCAGTGCAGCACGCATGTGAATGTGTCTTGGTGCCACGCAGGACTGTGCAAGGGTGTTGACAGTGAATGACATGTCAGGACGGGTAGTCACAGCAGCATACATCAAGCTGCCAATGAGACTCTGGTACACCTTGACATCAGCTGCAGCACCTTCCGCACTCGACCAAGTACATTTCCTGATCTTAGAGAGATCATTGGGTGACATGGGAGTGTGCACCCTATGTGTCTCCTTCAGCAGATCACCAAACCTTCCATGAAGACCACGGACATACTTCTCCTGGCCAATCTCCAACCACCCATCCTTGACCGACCTGCGGACCTCCACACCAAGGTACGTGGATACCTCACCCAGATCCTTCATCTGGTACCTCTGAGGAAGCACCTCTTTGACCTAATCAATCAGCTCCAAGCGTGGAGACACAAGCAAGAGGTCATCCACATACACCAATACAAACGCAGGCTCTCCATCCACAAACCTGATGTACAGAGCCTCATCGCATGCACTGCGGTCAAATCCTGCTGCAATCAGGGTGGTACCAATCTCCTCATTCCAGGCATGAGGCGCTTGCTTGAGCCCATAAAGAGCTTTGCGCAAGCGATACACCCTACCTGTACCATCATCAAATCCTTCAGGTTGCCTCACATACACCTCCTCCTGCAGGACTGCATTGAGGTAAGCATGATCAACATCCTCCTATTGTACATGCGCCCTTTTACCGCGACTTCTGCAAGAAGCACCCGACCTGAGGTGAGCTTGCCCACAGGGGCAAATACCTGATCATAGTCCTTCTCGGGCTCCTAAGTGTACCCCTTAGCAACAAGGCGAACCTTGTGCTGTACCACCTTATCCTCCTTGTCAGTTTTCCTGCGGAAAACATACTTGACCCCAATGGCCTTCTTACCTGGAGGTAAGTCGACCGGCTCTGGATCCCATACACCCATAGTGCGCATGGCATTCACCTCCTTCTCAGCACATGCCTTCCACGCAGGGCCCTCAGGGCCACGCAGTGCCTCAGCGAGTGTGCGTGGGACATCACCGGCGCTCACACCCGCTAGTGCAACGCCCTCTACCTCTCTGGCCAAACACATCATGCCCTCAACCACACCAGCATCCCCCCCTACCTCCTCACCACCTGTACCAGACAGGACACCAAGCACCTGCAAACCGGTAACCGGTGGTGGGGAGGTAGACACTGGTGACATAGGTTCACTCGTAGATAGAGTGACAGGCTGCTGACCAGAGGAGGAGGAAGAGGAAGAAGCATGTGTAGCGGATCTCCGCTGAATGACCGAGGGGCCGCTGAGCTGCTGCAGAGGGGTGGGCTGCTGCTGCACCGACACACTCAGCGGTGCCGGTGGCGGTGATGAAGGTGGCATCTCAGCGTCGTCAATCGTTGCTGAGGGTGGCGAGAGTGGAAGAGGGAGGAGCTGGGAAATCTCAGCTGCATCCTGCAGAAGCTCCCCAAATCCCTTTGCCTTGTCCCAATCCTTCCACATCACATTCTCAAGGAAATCAACATCCTGAGCAATGCGAATGCGCATGAGAGAGGGGTCCAGCATGCGCCAACCCTTGCTCTCCATGTCCACCCCAACACAGATACACATGACAGCGCGTGCATCAAGCTTGCCACCCTTCTCATGCCCATGCAACATGACACTCCCCATGCAACCCCAAATCCGAGCCATGCCCACATGCGGCTTCTGGCCGGACCACGCCTCCATTGGTGTGATGAAGGCAGGCAAGGCACTGTGGGTAACCCACACGACCCACATCAATGCTTCACCCCACAAGCGAGCAGGGAGACCACTGTCGACCAACAATGTGCGAATCCCCTCTGCCATTGTCCTGTGCCACCTCTTCACCACCCCATTCTGATGCGGTGTATCTGCAACGCTCAATTGAGTTTTGATGCCAAACTCAGCCTTCCATGCTTTCACAGCTTCCCCCAAGAACTCGCCACCCCTGTCTGAGCGAACAGCCTTCAGCTTCCGCCCACACTCCAACTCCACGTCCTTATGCCACTGGCGAAGAACTTTTGCGACTGTGGCTGATTCCTTGTTGGGGAGTGGGAACGACCAAACTCGTCTGGTGAAGTCGTCAATGAGGCTGAGGACATACACTGCTCCTCCCAGTGACGGTGTGCGCACTGGCCCCCACAAGTCCATGTGGAAAGGCCCAAGTGCCCGAGACGCCTCATGGGGAAACGGCTTTCGAGCCGACTTTCCCAATAAGCAAGGCTCACATGGAGAGCAATCAGTGCTCCCTCCCCCAATCTCCAAGCCAAGTACATTGTTCCCCCGAACCATCTGTTGCAGTGTCGTGGGGGCGGTATGACCAAGGCGGCGGTGAGCAAGGGTCAATGGAGAAAATTAGGAGGATGGTCTAGCTGCAAGAGCACTGCCCTGTGTACCCCGAGCAAGGGGAAGAGACATCCGCACCAATCCATGGTCCCTTCCCCCCTCCTTTTCTCCAATCGCCAAAACCCTCTCCCCCCGTTTGATAACACATCCCGTGCCCTTGATGTCAAAGTATATGCATGCTATATATAGTGGGCTGTAGGCTGTGGTGGGGTAGCCAATATGGGGTACAGCCCCTTTTAGGGTTTCATACTTGTACCCAACTCTTTGATAGTTCAATCATTCCTGCTGCTAGATTCTGACATGGTTTCAGAGCACTAGGTCCGTAGGACCGTTTTTTTTTTCGGGCCCACCTACCGTTGCGGTTACCGCGTTACCCCACATGTTGGCCTGCCTGCCTGCCTTGCCTTGTGACGTGCTGCGCTGCGCGTGCCGTCCTGCAGCCCTCGTGCTGCCTACTGCTGCCCTAGGCCAGAACGCCGCCCCTGCAGGCCCGTAAGGCCCACGCGCCGCACCTGCAGACACGTCACGCCTGCGAGCCGCCCCTGCAGGCCCGTCAGGCCAGGGCGCCGCCCCGCCAGGTCGCTGCCCCGCGCGTCGCGCCCACAGCCCGCGCGTCGCGCTGCAGCCCCGCGCGTCGCGCCCACAGCCCGCGCGTCGCGCTGTAGCCCCGCGCGTCGCGTTCGCTGCCCGCGCGTCGCGCTGCAGCCCCGCGCGCTGCGGCTGCCGTCCTCGCGCAGCCCGCGGCGGCTTCGCGCGCCGTGCCCGCGGCTCGCGTAGCGCGCTGCAGCCTCGCGCGCTGCGGCTGCCCCTGGACGCCGCCGTCACTCCTGCAGCAGCTGCCGCGGAGCGCCCTGCCACAGTAGCGGCCCCGCCCTACAGCAGCTGCCGCGGAGCCTCCTGCCGCCGTCGAGGCCCTGCCCTGCAGCAGCTGCCGCGGAGCCTTCTGCCGCCGTCACGTCCCCGCCCTGCAGCAGCTGTAGCGGACCTGCCCTACCTCCGACGCGGTCCTGCTCTGCCGCAGCTGTCGCGGCCCCGCCGTCGCCGCCGTCGTGCGCCTGCCCTTCTCGCCACTGGTGAGCACCTACCTGCCTGCCTGCCTGCCTGCCTGCCTAGACTGCTGCTGCTGCTGCTGCTGCTGCTGCTGCTGCTGCTACTACTGCTACTACTGCTACTGGCGGTGGCCAGATGCAGCTCCAGCGACGTCCGCGCGAGTCTCTCACGCCTCAGCAGCTTCGTGAGTGGTACGCTAGTTGGGGTTGTGGTGGTAGCCGTCGTGGCTGTCGCCCTGGGGCTGGTCGGTCGGGAGCGTCTGGCAGTGGCCAGCTGCAGCTGCAGCGGCGTCCGCGCGAGACACTTACGTCCCGGCAGCTTCACGAGTGGTACGCTCAGAGTCGAGGGTCTCGGAGTACCGTTCGCTGCTCGTACGTCCTTCGCACAGGTGATCGGGCTGGTCAGGCTTGCGGGACACTTGGTCACACCCTGTCCCGCCGCTTCGCCCGTCTGAGCGATGCCTGGCGTACCGAGTTTGGCGACGAGGCTGAGCTCCCCACCTGGCTGGAGCTGCTTGGGCAGAGGGTAGATATCTTTGCTCTTGACTATGATGCTATTCTCACTGCCATGTATGCATTGCCTACTAGTGCTGACCGTGCCTGTTCCCTGTGCGTATCGCCTGACCCAGGTATAGAGCCTGCTGCCCTAGGTGCTGGTGAGGCTGCTGCTGTAGGTGCTAGTACGTCTCCTGCGCTAGGTGCTGGTGAGGCTGCTGCTCTAGGTGCTAGTGCGTCTCCTGCGCTAGGTGCTGGTGAGGCTGCTGCTCCAGGTGCTGGTGAGTCTGCTCTCTCTGGTACTGCGCCTGCTGAGGCCTTGTACACCTTCACACTTGACTCAGGTGCTTCCCGCTCCTTCTTTCGCGACAGCACCACCCTCACGCCGCTTCGTCGGCCGGTTGCAGTCTCCCTGGCAGACCCCTCTGGGGGTCCAGTCCTTGCGCACTCCTCCACGGTCCTGCCATGTCCGGCGGTCCCGTCTGGCTCCCTGTCAGGTCTTCACCTCCCCTCGTTCTCTACGAACTTGGTGAGTGGAGCTGACCTACAGGATGTGTGGGTTGACCAGTTCACCCCTGGAGGTCAGCATGTGACCCACTGTACGTGCTCCCGGACTGGTCGGCACCTGGCCACGTTCACCCGAGAGCCTGGCTCGAGTCTGTACACACTGACCACTGTGTCCCCTCAGGTAGCTGCGTCCGCGTCTGCGTTTGCGTCAGGTCAGCTAGCGGCCCCCTGCTCGTGTCGCGCTTTCTCGCACCAGACCCTCCTTTGGCACCACCGCCTTGGTCACCCCTCGGTGCAGCGCCTTCGTAGCATGCATCGCCGTTTCCTTGTCTCTGGACTTCCAGAGACTCTGCCTCCTCTACCACCCTCGCCTGCTCCTCCCTGTCTTCCCTGTGTCGAGGGGCGGCAGCGCGCCGCTCCTCACTCCTCCTCGTTCCCTCCCACAGAGGCTCCCCTGCAGACTCTCCACCTGGACGTGTGGGGCCCAGCCCGCGTCCGTGGACAGGGCCACGAGCGGTACTTCCTGCTGGTCGTCGACGACTACACGCGTTACACCACGGTCTTCCCCTTGCGCAGCAAGGGGGAGGTCCCTGATGTTTTGATCCCCTGGATCCGCGCTGTTCGTCTCCAGCTCCGAGAGCAGTTCCAGTCGGACTTTCCTGTCCAGCGTCTGCACTCTGACAGAGGTGGTGAGTTCTCCTCAGACCTCTTGGCAGCCTACTGTGCGGAGCACGGCATCCGCCAGACGTTCACGCTTCTGGCCTCTCCGCAGCAGAATGGGGTTGCTGAGCGCCGCATTGGCTTAGTCATAAAGGTCGCTCGTACCTCCATGATCCATGCGGCTGCCCCCCATTTTCTGTGGCCGTTTGCGGTCCGCTACGCCGCGCATCAGCTCAACCTCTGGCCCCGTGTCTCCTTGCCGGAGACCTCGCCCACACTGCTGTGGACGGGGAAGGTTGGCGATGCGTCGCGTTTCCGGGTCTGGGGTGCTCGTGCCTTTGTCCGCGATACCACCGCGGACAAGCTCTCCGCCCGCGCTGTTCCCTGTGTCTTCCTTGGCTTTGTCCCTGACGCGCCTGGTTGGCAGTTTTACCACCCCACCTCGCGCCGTGTCTTCCCCTCTCAGGACGTCACGTTCGACGAGTCGGTTCCCTTTTACCGTCTCTTCCCCTACCGCACTGCCCCTCTCCCCCCCCTGCCGCTCTTCCTCGCTCCAGGTGCTCCCCAGGTAGACCCCCTCCCCGCTCCCGGTCCTGCTCCTTCAGGTGTGTCTCAGGTAGACCCTCCTCCCTTGACTGAGCCGGTTGAGGTCACTGGTGACTCAGGTCCTGCTGAGGGTGGTCCTGCTCGGGGTGCTGCTTCTGGGGGTGCTGAGCCTGGGGGTGCGGAGCCTGGGGGTGCTGAGCCTGGGGGTGCTGAGCCTGGGGGTGCGGAGCCTGGAGGTGCGGAGCCTGGGGGTGCGGAGACTGGAGGTGCTGAGCCTGGGTGTGAGGAGTCTGGGGGTGCTGAGCCTGGGGGCGCTGAGGCGTCTGGTGAGCAGTCTCCCTGGAGCGACCGTCTCCGTAGTCGCTCTGCTGGTGCCTCGCCGCTGCACTCTCGTCGTCGCCTCCCTCTCTCCCCACAGCAGCTGCTTGAGTGGTACGCTGGCCGTCAGGGTCGCGCTGCTGGAGCTAGGGGCCCTGCTGCGGGAGGCGCTGGAGCTGGTGACTCTGCCACTGGAGTTGTTTCTGCTGGAGGTTCTGGAGCTGCTGAGGGCGCTGGCGCTGGAGGTTCTGGAGCTGCTGGAGGTACTGGCGCTGGTGGCGCTGGAGCTGGAGGTTCTGGAGCTGCTGAGGGTGCTGGCGCTGGAGGTTCTGGAGCTGCTGGAGGTGCTGGAGCTGCTGGGGGTACTGGAGCTGCTGGTGCTGGTGTCACTGCACAGCCGCCCCTGTTCTTCGCTCCACCGTCTCCGTCGTCTCAGCCACCGCCTGACTCTGTGCTTCGCCAGGTTCTTAGTCCCCCTTCGTCTACTGGTCTTCCGTTACAGCCTGGCTCACCGCTGCCTGCTCCTTCTCCTTACACTGAGCAGCTAGGGGGTCTTACTGAGCGTCGTGAGCCTGCGTCGCGTCCTGTCTCGCCTGTCTGTTCTGGTCGTTCCGGTCGTCGTGTTCCTCGTCCGCGTCTGCCGGCTGTCCCCGACACCCACCTCGTAGTCCGTCGTCCTTCCTCTCCTCCGCAGCGTGTTCCTCTGCCGTCCCCTCCTGCGTCTTCTCTGCCTGTCGTTGCGGACCCCGAGTCTGACAGGTTTCGTGCTGAGCACCCTACTGTCACGCGTCTGCTAGCCACTGTTGTCACTGACCCGTCGTTTGAGTCTGCTGCTACGTCTGCCTTAGTTGCTGAGCTTGTTGACTTTGCTGCTGCCTGTCGTCTAGACTACGCCTCTAGTCTTGTTGCTGAGTCTGAGTCTGTCTGTCCTCCGTCCGTCGGGGGTGAGTGTGCTCTTGGCACGGACGTCCTTGAGGACAGGCAGGAGGACCTTGAGTGTCTTGCAGCCGCTTCGCCTCATCTCGTGTCTATGCTGCTTGCCCCTGAGGGAGACCCGGATGCTCCAGACATCCCGACCCCGCGCTCTTACGCTGAGGCGATCGCGGGTGAGTACTCCTCTTAGTGGCAGACAGCCATGGATGCAGAGATGGCATCCTGGAAGTCCACAGGCACCTACGTCGACGAGGTACCCCCACCTGGGGCGAACATCGTCAGTGGCATGTGGATTTT